GCTCTACTCACCATCACTCCCAGCCCTTACCCGGGGTCCAGGGCAGCCTGCCTCCACGCAGGCCTGTGCTTCCGCGGTCTGATGGGGTGCTCACGTGCCGTCTTTGTGCCCGGAGGTGTGGCTGTATCAGCTCAGGCTGTTCTCAGAGGATTCCCAAATGCAGGAGAGGTCCAGTCTCCCAGCCCCACTTTCCGCCCGCCAGGGCCCAGTGTCCTTGGGCTGCCCTGGTCCCTTGGGTCACCAGAGGAAATGGATCTGCCCAGAGAACCAAGTGTGGCAGTGGGCTTGCCGGCTGTACGGCCGGGCCATGCTGTGACCAAGGGGCCCGTGGGAGGGAGCAGCAGATAACCACTTGCCCTGGCCGGCCCCAGCCCTTCTGTCCTGGCCCCTCTGTCCCCCGCCCCCAGGCCATACTGTGACCAAGGGGCCCGCGGGAGGGGGCAGCAAATGACCACCTGCCCTGGCCGGCCCCAGCCCGTCTGTCCTGGCCGCTCCGTCCCCTGGGCCGTACTTGGCAAGCGTTCACCATGCTCTCCAAGCGCTCCCATGAGGACAGTGTTGCAGTGTTGCGGGGGGAGGCTCACTGCTGTTCCAGATCCCTGGCCTCGTGTCCCTGGATGGGCAGCCACATTTCTGACCCTCCAAAGACAGCAAAAGGGCACGAGGGCTGGAGCCCCTCTGTCCCCGGGGGCCTGGCTGGCCCTGGGGTGACCCTGATCCCCCCCACCCAGGAGAGTTTGGGGAAGTCTACCGAGGCTCCCTTCAGCTCCCCAGCCAGGACTGCAGGACAGTGGCCATCAAGACCTTGAAGGACACATCCCCTGATGGCCAGTGGTGGAACTTCCTCCGGGAGGCGACAATCATGGGCCAGTTCAAGCACCCGCACATCCTGCGGCTGGAAGGCGTGGTCACTAAGAGTATGGGGGAGGAGGGGAGTGGTCCCTGAGGGTGGGGGGAGTGGGCAGCAAGGACGGGTGAGGCCCCAGAGCGGAGGGGGAGATATGAGGCCGGAGTGGGGCCGCTGTGACGCCGCGTGTGCCCTGCTGCAGGAAAGCCCATCATGATCATCACGGAGTTCATGGACAATGGAGCCCTGGACGCCTTCCTGAGAGTGAGCAGGGCACAGGGCAGTGGGGGATGCACGGGGCCCTGGAGCCCCACCCTCCCCTGACACGCTCCGCCCCTGCTGCAGGAACGGGAGGACCAGCTGTCCCCCACGCAGCTGACGGCCATGCTGCAGGGCATAGCGTCCGGCATGAGCTACCTCGGTGACAACAACTACGTGCACCGGGACCTGGCCGCCAGGAACATCCTGGTGAGCCAGAGCCTGTGCTGCAAGGTGGCGGACTTCGGCCTGACGCGCCTCCTGGACAACTCTGACGGCACCTACGAAACCCAGGTGTGAGCCCTTTGCACACCAGGGGCACCCATGCACATACACGCGTGTGGTGACACCCTACACAGCACACGTGCACACACACGTGCACACAATCACGTACTATATACAGTACCCATGCACACACACACGTGGTCACCCTACACGGCACACACACGTGCACACAATCACATACTATATACAGTACCCATGCACACACACGTGGTCACACACCATAACATGGCACACGTGCACACATGCAATGTAGTCACATATGCACAGCACACACACACGTGGTCACACACCATACACAGCACACATGAACACATGCACACGCATGCAGTCACAATGTGTGCACACAGCACACATGCACACACCTGCACGCACATGCACGCAGTCACATACCATACACAGCACACACCGCACACAGGTGGCACACATGCTCAAGGACAAGGATGGTGCCTGTGTGCACCCCATTGCTCTCTAGCCCTTCCCCTGTGTGCTTTTCTTCGTCACCCACACGTCCTGAAACCCGCCCCGTGTCCCTCGTGTCCACTAGGGAGGGAAGATCCCCATCCGCTGGACGGCCCCAGAAGCCATTGCTCACCGGATCTTCACCACCGCCAGCGATGTGTGGAGCTTCGGGATTGTGATGTGGGAGGTGCTAAGCTTTGGCGACAAGCCCTACGGGGACATGAGCAATCAGGAGGTGAGGCTGCACGCTTCCCCTCAGGTCTCCCCAGCACACCCTATCTCCTCCCAGGTCCTTTTGTGGCCCTCTCCTTAATACCCTATTTCATCTCCCTGACCCCCACTTCGCAGCCTCCTTTACCTGTCCCCCACACCCTGCTCTCATTGCCACCCCACCTGGCCAGGGCCGTCTCAAGGCCCCTGTGATGCCCTGTGTGGACACAGGCTGCCCCTGGGCATCCCCCTGTGCCGCCTGCAGGTGATGAAGAGCATCGAGGACGGGTACCGGCTGCCCCCGCCCATGGACTGCCCAGCCCCACTGTATGAGCTCATGAAGAGCTGCTGGGCCTACGACCAGGCCCGCCGGCCCCCCTTCCACCAGCTGCACGCGAACCTGGAGCAGCTGCTGGCCAACCCTCACTCACTGCGCACTATCGCCAACTTCGACCCCAGGTACCGTGCTGGGGAGGGCACTTGGGGCTGTCCACCAAGGACAGGGCCTGCGAGCTCCGGACAGAGCCGAGAGCGTGAGGCAGGGCCCTGAGCCTCACCCCGGGACTGTGCACTCCAAGAGGAGGGGCATCTCTTCCTGGAGAGCCCCCAGCTGGATAGATGGCAGGTAGTAACCCCAGGCGCATGCACACAGGAAAGGCAGGGTGGGTTCTTAAAGGCACTGCTTATAGGGGCTGGCGGCAGAGTGCCCACACTGGCAGGTCAGCTGCAGCTAGGCCCTGAGCGGGGGTCCCTGTCCACACCTGTCCCCTGCTCTGTGTGCCAGGAGCTCCATCCCCCCACTGAGCTTCTGAGGCCACTGGACTCGGAAGGCACACCCCCACCCCCCATAGAGTAGAGGGCACAGGAGAGGGTCACTCACTGTGTGCATTTGGGAGGACACTGCTCTGACAGGGTCGCTGGGTGGCGTACACAGTTTGCGCTCGACTACTAAACGAAAGGTTGGTAGTTCAAACCACCCAGAGGCACCGCAAAAGAAAGGTCTGGCTTTCTGCTTCTGTAAAGCTTACAGTCAGGAAAACCCAGTGGAGCACATTCTGCTCCGACACACACAGGGTCGGCATGAGTTAGAATCGAGTCGATGGCAGCACTGGGTTTGGTTTTTTTGGTTTGCTGCGTGCTGAGTCTTGGACTTGGAGGTACAGCCATGCTCATACCAGCATCTGCCCCAGGGGGCGTGGTCAGTGAAACCGGGGTGGGGAAGGCAGGTGAACAGGCAAGTGCCGGCAATGGGGGTGTGCTGGGCCAGGGAGGCTGGAGAGGTGGCTGGTCAGGGCCGGAGGGCCAGCTGGCCAGGCGTTTGGACTTCACCCTGGGTGCAGAGAGCCCACTGTGTGAGATCTGCCTGTGGCAGTGATAGGGTCAGAATTGTGTTTGACCAAAACCATTGCCAGAATGTGCAGAAGGACCTGGGGGCGGGGGAGACAGCCACGGCTGAACTTCAAGAACTTTCTCGGAGCTGGCCTTGGGATCCCACCACCATAGATAACGCTGCATCTTGAAGACAGTGTGCTACTAGTTCCAACTTCTGAAGCTATCTTTTGGAACACGGCTCCCCATACACTGGAGGCTGCATGTGCTAATCTTTCTGGAATGCTGGATACTTTTCCCCAGCAGATCTGCCCTGCTAATGGTTTTGGCTCCCCTGGCTCCGGCACAGGAACGCTCTCTGGGCTGTGGGTGTTGAGTCAAGAATAACAGGAGACAGCCCGGCACTCAGTGGCCACTCCGAGGGCAGCCGGCCAGCCCCCGGCCTCTGCTCCCTGCCCTCTGCCCCCAGCTGGGCCCTCAGTACTTCCTGTCCCTGCAGAACGGCCACTCCGGGGAGATGGGCCGGGGGTCCCCGTGTGAGGGCCGGCAGGGCTGGTGGCCACCCTCCCTGGGATGGGCAGGGCTGTCTGCCACCCGCTGTGGCCAGCATGCCAGGAGAATAGGCTCACAGACAATAGCCGCTAGACCCCAGACTCGTCAGAGAGCTCTGCTTAGACACCCCACCCCACCTGAGTGGGGCTGCAGTGAGCCAGGAGGCCACCCTGATTCAGCAAAGTTGGGTGTGCAGGCCGAGGGCAGCCCCACACAGGGCAAGGCAGCCGCACCCTACCCCCCCCCATTCCCCCATGACCCGGTCCTGCACTCCCAGGGTAACGGGCTCCACACACCACCATCCCCCTCCCCCACCCTCGCAGCCCTGTACCCCCCTCCCCTCCCCGTCACCAGTCACCACCCCATGCCCCGCTATGACCCAGCCCTGCACCTCCAGGGTAATAAGTCTCATGTCCCTAGTGAAGCAGTCCCGTACCTGCGGGTGACATAGTCCTGCACCCCCGGTGACGCAGCCTCCCACCCCGTGCTCCCCAGGGTAACCCTCCGCCTGCCCAGCCTGAGTGGCTCGGACGGGATTCCGTACCGCAGCGTTGCGGAGTGGTTAGAGTCCATCCGCATGAAGCGCTACACCCTGCACTTCCGCTCCGCGGGCCTGGACACCATGGAGTGTGTGCTGGAGCTGACGGCTGAGTGAGCACCCAGCGGGGCCGGGGTAGTGGCGGGGCTGAGCACGCCCTTCCCCGTATACCCTCACACCCCGTACCCCGCAGGGACCTGACGCAGATGGGCATCACGCTGCCCGGGCACCAGAAGCGCATCCTTTGCAGTATTCAAGGGTTCAAGGACTGAGCCGCCCCCTCCCTGCTCTGGGAGCCAGGATCCCTCCGGGTGCACCGCCCTACCCTCCCGCCCAACCAGGCCTGGGTGAAGGGAGGACTCAAGGGTGATGTGGGGGGCTGGGGTTTAATATTTGCACACACGTATCTATTTTTGTAAATAAACAGAACTGAGTTCTCGCCCTCACCCCATTCTTTACCGCCACCCCTCCATCTCCCCTGAGCGCTGCAGGCACCACACAGCAGTCCACCGGGAATTCTGGAAAAAGTTTCTTTATTGCAGCTGTGGCCACAACTTGGCGGGCGGCATTGGTGGGGGCAGGCCATCCCGCCCCCAGGCTTGGCACCCTCCCTCAGAAGTGGGGTGCTGGGCTTACAGCGGTGAAAGCAGCACTGAGACCTCCTGCCCTGGGTGGGTGGGTGGCTGGCTGGGTGTGGTGGGGGTCATGGGGCCCTGCGGGGTGGGTGGGAGAGGGAGCTGAGAGCACAGAGCTTGGGCCCTGCAGCCGGAGGGCAGGTGGGGTGCACTGGTCAGGGCCCTGGGTCCCGAAGGGGCTGGAATGAAGGTGGGGTTGGAATGGGGGTGGCCTGATAGGGCTCAGGTCTAGGCCCGGGCCGTGTGGCAATTCCGGCAAAGCACGTGTCCATCCAGGGGGAAGCAGCCGTTGTCGTCCGCCTCGATGGACAGAGGCTTCCCGCAGTCCTGCGGGAGGGACAGCGAGCCCTGGCTGGTTCTGGCCACTGACACGCCTCCAAGCAGGAGCTCCCTACAGCCACCTCTGGTCCCCACTTGGCTGGATGGGCGGTGGGCAGGGCTGCTCCAAGGTGCCCCCTATCCTCCCAGCCCCTCCCACCATCTTGACCTCCTCCTCACCAGCAGCCTGACCAGCCCCTGCGTGACAGATGGCAGTCCCTCCCTCCCACGGCCTTGGTCGACCCTCATGGTCTATCCACAACTCAAGGGACCTCACAGAAACCCACTCCAGGGCCGGGGAGGGGACCACTGACCCCGCCCCAGGATGGAAATGGCCTCCCCTACCGTGTTGGTGAGCAGCGCCCCACCTCCACCCTACCCCTGCAATGCGCCCAGGAAGCAGGGACGCGGACCTCACACTTGTAACACTTCATGTGGAAGTTCTTGTCCAGGGCCACCACCCGCACGGTCTCGTCTCGGCCGGGCTCCGGCATAATGGGCTCACCACAGACGGAGCACCTCGGGGCGTACTGCCTGGGGGACAGAGGGGCGCAGGTCAGCGGGGGGAGAGAAAATGAAGCACCTCGGGGCATACTGCCTGGGAGTCAGAAGGGTCAGTGTGGGAGAGAGAAGATGGAGCAGCTTGGGCATACTGTGTGGGGGACAGGGGTCAACGTGGGGGAGACAAGATGGAGCACCTCAGGACACACTGCCTGGGGGACAGAGGGGTCAGCGTGGGGGAGAGAAGACAGAGCACCTCGGGGCATACTGCCTGGGGGACAGAGGGGCACGCGGGTCAGTGTTGGGGAGAGAAGATGGAGCACCTCAGGACATACTGCCTGGGAGTCAGAAGGGTCAGTGTGGGAGAGAGAAGATGGAGCAGCTTGGGGCATACTGCCTGGGGGACAGAGGGGCACAGGTCAGCATGGGGGAGAGAAGACAGAGCACCTCGGGACATACTGCCTGGGGGACAGAGGAGTCAGCGTGGGGGAGAGAAGACAGAGCACCTCAGGACGTACTGCCTGGGGGACAGAGGAGTCAGCGTGGGGGAGAGAAGACAGAGCACCTCAGGACGTACTGCCTGGGGGACAGAGGAGTCAGCGTGGGGGAGAGAAGACAGAGCACCTCAGGACGTACTGCCTGGGGGACAGAGGAGTCAGCGTGGGGGAGAGAAGACGGAGTACCTCAGGGCATACTGTCTGGGGGACAGAGGGGTCAGCATGGGGGAGAGAAAACGGAGCACCTCAGGACGTACTGCCTGGGGGACAGAGGGGTCAGCGAGGGGAAGAGAAGACAGAGCACCTTGGGGCATACTGCCTGGGGGACAGAGAGGTCGGTGTGGGGGAGGGAAGACGGAGTACCTCAGGGCATACTGTCTGGGGGACAGAGGGGTCAGCGTGGGGGAGAGAAGACGGAGCACCTCGGGACATACTGCCTGGAGGACAGAGGGCTGTGGGTCAGCGTGGGGGGGCACAGGTGAAGGGCACAGCCCCCTGCGCACACTATGTCCCACGGCCCCCATGGGGAAGCTCATGGGAAGCAAGGACCTGCCTCCATGACCAGCCCTCACTGACGGTCTCCGCCTCTCACTCGCCCCTCCAGGTGCGATCCTGACACACCTCCACTGCCCTCCCTCCACTCCCCTCCACTCTGCCTGCACATGGGAGGGGTCCCCTCCCCAAGTCCTGGACCCTTGCCTAGACCAGCTCTGGGGAGCCTGCCGTCTCCGGCCCTCTGCCGGGGGGCGCTGTAGTGAGAGGTCAAGGCTGGCCCCGAGGCAGGGTTCTCCAATGTGCACCTCAACAGCACGGTCAGAGGGGAACCAGATCCAAGGTCTCATCACACTGCCCATTAGCTGGTGATGGGGTTTTGCTGGTGGCCTGTGCAGGCAGCCACCTTGCAAACACTTTCCAGGGAGAAAGCGAGTCCCAGACAGCTACCTCCCAGAGGACTTTTAGAACCCAGCCTGCACATGGAGAAAGAAGTCACTCACAAACTGTACAGAACATAGTTCAGGGGCCCTGAGTGAGCTCAGCCAGCAGGCCGGGACCTGCCGCCCAGCCTACGCCCCTGGGCAGCTACAGCCAGACAGGCCGGGCCCGCACCAACCGGGGAGCCGCGCGCTCGGGCCTGGGAGCAGCAGGAAGGGGCAGGGTGCTCACCTGTGGTAGTCAGGGACACAGTGGGGCCGGTTGGCCTGGTCCACAATGAAGGAGGTGCCCTCCAGGGGGCAAGCACAGAGCACGCAGGTGAAGCAGTTGGGGTGGTAGGCCCTGCCCGTGGCCCTCAGCATGCGCTCGGTGATAGGTTGCCCACAGGTGCTACACTTCTCCAGGGTCTCCTGCAGGCACAGCGAGCGTGGGCAGGGGCTCCAGGCCCCCACCCGGCCCCACACAGCCCGCGGCCCCAGCCCCCACTCACGGTGTAGCAGCCCTCGCAGTAGGGCGACCCCTCGAGGCTGTAGAACTGCTGTCCCTGCAGCTGCCGGCTGCACTGGTGGCAGATGAAGCAGGTGATGTGGAACAGCTGGCCCAGCGCGCGGACCACCGGCTGGGCACGGGCCAGGGGCTGGCAGCAGCGGCCACAGAGCTCTGCGGGGCCGGGGAGGTGGGTGTCAGCAAGAGGGGGGGTACGGGGAACCGTGGTGGTGGGGCTCACTGCTGGCAGCTCCAACAGCAGAGCTCTGCAGGGCTGGGGAGGTGGGCATCAGCAGGAGGGGACACCGGGCAGGGGGCTCACCGCTGGTGCCCGCACTCGACTTCTGGGGCTGTTCCATGTCCTGCATGAGCTGCTTCGTCAGCTGCTCCAGCTCTTCCACCTCCCTCAGTGTCAGGGGGCCGGGGGCCCCAGGGGGGCGCACCTGAAATCCCAACGCCTTCCTCAGGCTCCAAGGCCCTCTTCTTCCAGCTTCCCAGAAGCTCTGGGCTGACCTTTCAAGCTGTGTGACCCTGGCACCAACCCAGGCCCCACACAAATAACCGAGGGAAGGGACGCCCCTGAGCCTGGACATGTCCACCCTTTGCTGGCCCTCCCTGGGTGTCACAGACAGGCCGAGGACGGGTGGACGCAGGCCACACACAGCAGCTCAGCTCACAGAAGCACCGACACGCCAGGGCCACGCAGACGTCACTAAACATGCCACACACCACCCAGAGCGCACACAGCGGGCACACACCTACCGTCCGCCTGCTGCCGGGCAGGGAGAGCGTGAGGACACAATACAGGCAGTCACGGTCAGAGCCCAGGCCGCACCAGAGCCCCGGGCCCCGGGCCCCGAGTGTGGGCTTCGGGACTCCCGACCCCCCACTGCCAGGCCAGCCCACCGCCTGTGCGGGGGATGATGGAGCCGGGGTGGGCAGAGGCTGGGGGACACTGCTGGAACCCCAAGAACTGGAGACAGGGCCACAGGGCTATACCTGCCCCAGAGACACCTGAAGGGAGCGCTGGGCTGGCCTGCTCTGAATCCACCCGCTGACCACTGAACATCCTGCCTACGTGCAGCACCTTCCTCCCAGCCAGGCCACCACCCAAGGGGAACACACCCTCTCCATCCACAGCTTTGTGGGTCTCTCTGCCCAGAAGCACCGCTCCACCACCGTCACATGCCCCCGAGCCTGCCCGGTCCCCTCTGGACCCCTGCATCCCCGTGTTCCCTGACACGGGTCCCGGTAAGCCCCTCCACAACACAAGCTTCACCTATTTCCCCCCCGTCCTCGCTTCCCAGCAGGCTCTGTGGGCCAGAGGGTGGGACGCGGCCAGCCCCTGCTCTCTGCTACTCCTGGGTGACCGCTCCATTGCCCTCGAAGTATGAATTGGTCTTCAGTCCACCTGGGCAGCCAGAGTCCTCCAGGACGCACCTGCCTGCCACCGTTTCCCTCCACCTGCCAGCTGCAACATCCCAGCTTCCACACCAGAGGCAAGCTAGTGCCTCGGCTCCACCTCAGTCACCGTCCAGCATGGGCCCCTGTGGACCTCAGGTGTGACAACTTCGTGACCTCCAAGACCCTGGGCTTGGGCCCCCCACCATGCACACCTGTTCCGCTGCCCCACTCAGAAGGCTGCATCCTCCACCCAGCCCGTCTCTCTGACGTGCTCACCGCCACTCTGCCACCGTTGCTAATTGGCTCCAATCTCCAACCCTGGGCCACACCACCCCTTCCTGCGTCTGCCTCAGCTGCAGAGCCATGGAGAGCTGGCCACACTGCAGGGGGGCACACAGCGCCGTGGCACCCTCCGCCCCGCTCCTGTCTGGGACTTGCTCCCCGTTGTCTTCTCCCCAGCAGCTGTTCCAAACCCTTCCATCCCCTCAAGCCCCCGATGGCTTTGCCCCCTCACTCCAGCTGACCTCACTGCCTACATTAGAGAAAAGATGGAAGCCAGCCAGCGTCAGCTCTCTCGCCACCTACCCCTCCACAGGAAAGAGTGGTGATGTGGTCCTCGCCCTGGAGACGCCTCTGGAGGCCTGCACCAGGCCCTCTTCCAGACCCTCGACATGCCTGCCTCCTCATGTGCCCTGGGCCCCACGGGCCCCCTCCACCTCCCACCACACCGAAGCCCTCCCCTAACTTGCAAAGGCCACACACCCAGCCTCAGCCCTTCTCTGTGCCCCAGGGCAGGCACTCCAGCCAACTCCTTCCTGTCAAGCTCAGGACACCAGCCAGCAGGCCTCCGCATGGCCACCTAAGATGTCCTAATAGTACATCTCTGGCCGCTAACCCCGTCCCCTGCCCCCTGCCCTGAAAAGCACCACAGCTTTGCTTCTCCTCCTTGGCTTCACTAGGTCCACCAGTAACTGCTCCACTCCTTAAGCCCGTCTTCCACCCTTGCTGCCCCGACCTGGGGCCTTCTCTGTGCACCCCGACGTGGGCAGCCTCCACGCACCCACTGCTTTGTGCATCATTGCCCACAACCTGCACCCCTCCAGCTGGAAGCCCACCCACCAATGCTAACTGAACACAGTTCCTTCTAAGACGGTCCCGCTAGAACCTCTTGCTCAACTTGCTGACAGCGGACTCCTCCCCTTCCCCTTCGTTTCCCCTTCTGGACTTCTCTATTTGGTCTGCAATCTGCATTCCCAGCACGCCCAGATTCAGCCTCCTCCAGGGCACTGCCCCCCCTCCTCCAGGGCTTATCAGTTCCTCAGCCGGAAGCGCCTCCCTCTGTGGCAGCCACCACGAGGAACCCATTGTTCACTGGCCAGTCACTGCGGCCCCGAAGTGGACCCTTACACCTCTGCTGGGAGTGCCCCCCACAAGCCTCCAAAAGCGGGGCTTTCACTGCCCCCCCACCACAATGCCCACCCCCAGCACTCGCAAGACCCCACGCTGAGCTTTCTATTCCTCTTCCTTGAGCTCCACCTGCCGCTCCAAGCCTAGCTTTGTGATGTCGCCACTGGAGACCGCTACTTTCTCTTCTCCAATCGCCCTGTGCATCCCTGCCCTGGGGTGGTGCTCATGGTTCCCTCTCCTCTCCAGAACTTTCCAGCCCCCACCCTTCAAGCACACCAGCTCCGCGAAACCTTCCCCAGCCTGCAGTCCCCAAACTGCTCCCTCGTCTGGGTCCCTGCAGCACAGCACTCACGGGCGCCTGGCATCCCTCTCTGTGTGCCTGCACAGACATTCACACTGTCACCTGGACAGCCCAGCAAGATGACCTCTCTGCCGGCCAGACGCTGGGTTCTGGTGGCAGGAACCATCTTGGAGTCGCTGCTTCTGCCTGGTGCATTCAGGCCAGGCACAGTGCCCAGCCCTGCCCAAGTCAGCTCCCTTCACCACACAACCACAGTATCGGGTAGTGCTGTTTGCAACAAGGGCAGCTGGGACTCAAGTTCACCTGACTCGCCTGGGGTCTCCCGGATTCTGTCCCAGGACCATGCGCGCCCACCCTCCATGCCCCAGGTGTCTCTCCCATGTTCTGAACGCCCCGGCCCAGCAGAGCCCAGCACCACAGAGCTGGCTTGGCCATGTCACCACATGCTCAGCAGATGGGCCGTGGGCAGGAGAGGGACACAGCTCGAGAAGGGGAAGAACCAAGTTCGGAGTGGTGACCTTGTCCCTCCCCTAGAACATTCAGGTGGCAGTCTGCACTGGTCCCCACTCCCAGTCAGGCCCCACCCAAACCAGACCCTGCCAGGCCCTTCCTCCAGGGGCCCTTCCTCTTCCGACTGCCCCCAGCCCAGGTCAGAGGGAAACCCCTCCCCCAACCCCACCACTCAGCACCCATTCTGACTCGCCCTCCACTCTCTGCTCCTGAGCCAGTCGTGCCCCCAACCCCAGCCTAGACATGACCCTCTCACCTAGTCTGTTCTCCCTCACCTGGTTTGGAGCAGGCCGCGGTAGGGACCCTGGAGACTGCTTCTCCTGTACATGGGGCTTCTCCTTCTGCTGAGCACAGGTGACACTGGGGGGCTGAGGGGAGACTGTGCCCATGGAAGAGGGAGCTTCAGGGGACCCCACCTTCTGATTGGGCTGTGACACAGGTCCACCTGGGGCTCCAGGGGCTCCAGGGCTGAACTTGGAGGCTACAGGAGTAAACCTGGAAGCCACCGGAGAAAACTTAGGGGCTGTGGGACCTCGGGGCTGGGTGTCAGCCGAAGACATAGGCTCGGCCTGGGCCTGGAGTTTGACCTGGGGTGGGACCTGAGGCCGGGCCTGGGGCCGGACCTGGGGTGGGACAGGGACCTGCGTCTGGCTCTGGGGCAGGGCCTGAGCCTGGGATAGTGGCTGGGAGCTAGAGGGGGCCTTCCAAGGAGGCAGGGGTGCCGTCGCCCCAGCTGCAGGCCTAGGACTGGAGTGGAGACTGAAAGGCGTGGCAACTGGCGGGGGCACATATCCAGAGGACACCTGCAGGGAGGCAGTGGGGACAGAAGGGTTAGAGAGGTCAGAGATGGGGTGTCCTCAGGGTGCTGACCAGCCTCTCCCCACCTCGCCCCTCACCCGGGCCTTGAAGGGGTCGTTCCTGGTCATGTCGTCCAGCAGCGAGGACAGTGAGTCGATCTCCAGGTCAATGCTGCTCACCTTCTCCCTGGGCTGCAGGGCAGGGTCAGAGAGGCCCAGTCCTCCAACCCACCCGCCCACCTGGGCACAGGCTGGAGGTCGGGGCCTCCTCCAGCAGCCCTCCCAGCCCCTGTACCTGTGACCGGAGCGGTGTGGGCCCTTCAGTCCCTCCCTCCTCCTCCAGAGGGGGTGGTGGGGACGGGAAGATCTCATCCTCCAGGGGTGCAGGGGGGAACGGCTCATCGATCGGGGGAGGGGGTGGCGGGAAGGGGCCTCCCAGGGCACCCTCGGCCTCATCGCCGTCCCCGAGCGGCGGAGGGGGCGGTAAGGGAAATTCTGGTCGGAGAGAGAGGGCGTTGTCAGCAGAGTCCCTCAACCCCCTCCTACCGCTCCAGCCCCCACCTCTCTCGTGGGACCCGCGGATGTGTGCGGGGGTGAGAAGGGGCACAGGGTGCCGGGGCACCGGCCAGGCGAGGGCACCGCGGAGGAGCTGGACGCCCCGTTACAGTGCGGAGAACGCACCCCAAGGAAAAGAGTCCTACCCCACACCAGTCCCCGCCGGCAGGGCTTGGCCCAGCCCCGGGAGCCCTGGCTCCGGGCCACGAGCCGCGATGAGGTAAGAACATCTGCTCGGGACGGGGGCTGCGCCAGCCCCTCCGCAGCGGCCTCTCCAGACGACCCCCATCACCCCTGAGCCCTCCCGGGGGGGGGGTCCCTCCACCCCTGCATCGCCCTCCCCCGCCCGCTGGTTCCTCTCGATCTGTCCCGGCGCTTCTCCAGGCCACGAACCCCCGTACCCCGGCACTCACCCGCCGACGCCCCCAGTCCTCCTGACGCTGCCCCGGCAACCCCTACCTCCCGCAGCTTCACCCCGGGTCCTTGGCGTCCCCCATACTCCTGATGCCCCTCGTACCCTCCACCCCCCCGGCACTTCCCCAGGGGCCCCCCATCCTCCTGATGCTTCCCAGGCGCCCCCCACTCTCCGCATCCGGCAGCCCCTAACCCCTACCTCCCCACCCCCGGCGTACCTTCGGGGGGCGGTGGGGGCACCTCGCCCACCCGGCCCATCTGCGCGCGCTGCGCCCCGGCCGCGGCGGGCGGCTCGCCGTCCCCGTGCCGGAAGGGGTTCACTTTGGGCTTGGGGGCCACCACCGGGCCGAACTTCTTCTGCGGCGCGTAGAAGGCGGGCGCTGAGACCGAGACGACGGGGGGCGGGCGTGGGGCGGCCATGCCGGCGTGCGGGGAGCGCTCGGGCCTCGGCGTCCTGGCCGCCCGGCGCCGGGGCTCTG